ATTTTCCAAGTTCAAGAATTTTTTGTGTCTAAACCATTCATAATTGGTCGAAACGGCTCACATGTCCCTATCTCAACTTTTGATCAACTATCTACTGACATTTAATTGAAACAAATACAGGGTGGTGCAGAATTCAGAATCTTGATCACCCGGTATATGTCCCAATTAAATATCAGTAGATAGTTAATCAAAAGTTGAGATAGGGATATGTAAGCCGTTTTGACCAATTATGAATAGTTTCGACACAAAAACTTCTTGAACTTGGACAATATCGATTTTTCACACCCTATATTTCAGTAATTATAACTGCTAGACCCCAAGTATGATGGATTGTTGAAATCAGCTCACCAGGGAGAATCTCAAAATGAAATAATATATAGGGTGTTCGATAGAAAAAAGTTCAACTTCAGTGTTTTATGGTTTTTGGGGACACCCTGTATGTTTCGAAATAATTTTAAATGGTAGCCTATGTTGACATGCAACTTCCTAGAGAGGAAGAATTCCAAGAAGATAAGTGGTTAGCCTTCTAGAGACCGAAGCGTTACTGGTGGCCCACCCTGTATTTTCAACTGTTTCATCTGAAATGAATTGGGAAAATCGACTAATGGTATTCTTCGTGAACAAAAGTGAAACACTTGTCGTAAACACAATTCTTGAATAACTGGGCAAATTAAAGAGTTCCGAACGATATCTCAAGAAGACTTCAATGAGCTGTTAAAATAATTATCATTCAAATCGGCAAAAGATTTTTTTTCAATGTATACCGGAACTTTTTTGCAAAATCTGTAAATGGTATACATACCTACTAATTTTTTATTTAAACAGGAAGAAACCTGTATAGGCTTCTGTCACTTGAATTCAGAAACACCCAGTAGTGTTAATGATACTTATCCGAGTACTTATCACTAATCCCTACATGTTTTTTCATTGCCCAAGTTTCGTCCTTGGGTTTGAATTCAACCTACCTATCGATTGACTTTTTTGCATTTCACGAATTGAACTCATTCGTAATCTACCTATTTTTACACAAAATTTTGAAAACTCCTTGGGATGTATGATAAATCTTTAGGAAATCCCGGAAGTCCGGGTAATCTCTGGGAATTCCTCAGGTAGTCCCAGGAATTCCAGGTAGTCTTTGGGAATTCCTAGGAATTCCTTGGGAAGTCCCAGGAATTCCGGGTAGTCTTTAGGTAGTCCCAGGAATTCCGGGTAGTCTTTGGGAATTCCTTGGAATTCCTTGGGAAGTCCCAGGAATTCCGGGTAGTCTTTAGGTAGTCCCAGGAATTCCGGGTAGTCTTTGGGAATTCCTAGGAATTCCTTGGGTAGTCCCAGGAATTCCGGGAATTCTTTCAATAAAGGAAGTCTAGTGTACCCAATTTCAGCCCGTGATTTACCCCTCGAAAATCACCATTTAACAGAGTATGTAGAAATTTTGGTTTAAATGCCCTAATCCTGTTGCGTTTCAAACATCTCCATACTTTGTTTTTCGTTAAATTCATTGTCCTCGCAACTGCCCTTACAGTACCATTTGGGTTGTTTCGAAATTCTGCTAGGATACGTTCGTCGTCTGGATAGTGTCTTTGATTTAAATTGTACCTCCCTGGTCTTATTTTGAAAACCGCTCCAGTCCTTGCGAACAATCTGTTGATTTTGGCAACGGTATCGTGAGAAATTGGTTCTCGATCATGATGCCTTCCATTGAATATTCCAGCAACTTGACGCGTAGATCTTTCATTATTACCAAATAAGCGGATAATCTCTACTTTTTCTCCAATTGTAAGAACTACTCTTCGGTTGTGTGCCATCTTATTAACAGTTAAGTAACACTGCTTGACTTATTGACATTTCGTACTGATTACCGATGTCAAACAAAAACTTTTGTTTCAAAGCACTCTTTCATTAATTTGCTTGAAAACTCAAATCGGCAAGCCAACGGTAACAAAGTGCGCGTATCTTCCGAAATACCTAAATTGTAGTATAAGGGCAGTTGCAAACGATACTGAATATAAGGAAACGAAGGTGTTTGAAGTTTAATATAGGATTAGGGCATTTGAAATAAAAAGTTAGAAATAAACAATCTATTGAAAAAAAGTGAATTTAATTTTGTTTTCTAATCAAATCAGCTCTTGAGATTTCGAAAATATGAATTGAGGGGTTTTTGGGGATGCTGATTCCGAATCTGATGAGAAAAGTTGTCTAAAATAAGCATTAATATTCATTTCTCAAAAAATGCCTTTTTTCTCCCCCCAACTTCGCACGCCAATGGTGAATGAATGTGATCACTATGCCAAATACTTAATTTTTCTAACATAAAATCACCACCAAAATCTCAAGAAAATCGCTAATAACAGATATTCGGGTGCATTGACGAAAAAAGTGAATTTATTTTTTTTTCTGCTCAAATCAGCTCTTGAGATTTTGAAAATATGGATTGGGGGGTTTTTGGGAATGCTGATTCTAATTCTGATAAAAAAAGTTATCTAAAATGAGCCCTAATATCCTTTTCCCAAAAAACAGCTTTTTTTTACCCCCCCACACCGCACGCCTATGGTCGATGAAAATGTTCACTATGCCAAAATACTTCATTTACCTAACATATAATCACCACCAAAATTTCAAGAAAATCGCATTATTAATAACTGAGATATTAGGGTGTATTCATGAAAAGCGGGACACACTGTATATATATTGTTATTTATCCCTTTAACCCCTTATTATGTATTATTATATATCCCGTCATGTCCTTATGAGTAAACGACCATTTTTTCAGTAATTTCCCGAGTAATTTCCGAGTTAATTTCCTTTATCTCTCTGTTACTTCCTAGCAAGTTTCCTTTCATTACTTCCCTCTCGACTTTCCTCCTTGCTTTCGTCTCAATTCCTTCAATTGCCGTTATATTCGCCCTATTTCATCATCTTTCGCCCCATCCGTTAGTAATCAGTCCAGTAATCAGTGTAAGTCTCAGTGTTAGAGACTATTTTCCTTCTCATTATTCTCCAAAATAATTTGACATTTCAATTACTCTTTCAATTTAATGAGAGGCCCAATGATTTTCAATTCGTTTCGATTCCTCTTATTCTAAATATTTCATTTCCCGTTATAAGCGCATGAGTATTTCTTGATTCCTCCAAGGTAGCCCTGGTTGTTAACAAACTCTTTATAACTCCCTTTATTTCCACTTTTCTGAAATTCTCGAGGGAATTCTTCTCAATTACAATTCCTCATACAAGTACTTTTTCATTTATAGGTTAACTCGATGGCTAACTTCTTCAATTTCCGTGGATTTCTGTTGATTTCCCTATTACGTCTTGACCAGTGTCATATAATTCCTCTAATTCCAGTTTTTTCACTTTATTACCAAAGTAATTTCTCTCGTAATTTCCTAATGTTACCCAGAATGTAAACCAGACAGTAATTAGCGTTCGGAATTTACCTCACTTCAGTTATTTCTCCCAGTTGTGTGCCAATAATTACACATACTTGATGGGATTCAGCTCCGAGTTTAATCCTTCGAATTTCTCCCAATTATTTCTCTCAATCCCTTCATGTTCTGGTTATTCAAGTGGAAAGTTCTTCTCCCAATTATTTCTTTCAATCACATTATGTTCCGGTTATTCAACTGGAGAGTTCTTCCAATTATTTCTTTCAATCCCTTCATGTTCCGGATGTTCAACTAGAAAGTTCTGGGCGAGGTTCTGGGGTAATACCCCCCTTCTTTGGTGAGTCTGGTGAGTACTTGGATGATGTTAGGTAGGGTATCTTTGCTTTACTTGAATGAATTCGGAAATCTCGAGATAAATCTCTCGATAAATCTTTAAATCCCACGTAATTTCATGGATAAACTGTTTACGAGAGGTCCTCGGAGAGGTCTTGATAGGTATTTCCGAGTGAATTTCTTCTGTGGTCTGCCCTGTTCCTTTGTTTTTTCTCGGTTTTTATCTTTTGTTATACAAAAGAATTGCAGAATCATGTTTTCAACTCGGTTTTCAATTGTCGAGTCCGAAGTGAAACTACTGAATACGATCAAGATGGACACATATAACTGAGTTTCATGTGTTCCATGTACCTACTTACTACTCGATTAGCTACCTATAGGAATAATGATATTAGAATAATGAATATAAAATTACATCAAGGTAGGTGAAGGAGGTTTTTTTCATCCGTCAACACCTACATCCGCTAGTTGGGAGTAAATAACCAATCTTGCAACCGATAAGTATGTAATGGGCTGGACGAGGTATTTAGCAAGGTTTTATTGTTTTTCACGTCGATTCTGGTAGCCGAGAGACCAAGAAAGAGCATAGATGGTTCCTAGGGTGGTTTCTGTGCTTCATAAAAAGACCAAATGAGAAAGACATTCGGGTCACATTCCTACAAGATAGTCATAGACCATTATCATCGAGACAATATAGATGCAGCCTCGAATGCAACTTACCTCCTTCTCTTGGGTGTAATCTGTGACGTTATATCAGCATTAGGAGATATAATTATATAGGTATACAATACAATCACGTTACTCACATGTTAGCAATAATCCATCAACACAAAAGCCTGCCTACTGCTAGGTAGGTATAGTGAATACCCTTGAGAAAAACCTATATTTTTTTCCATTTAATTTATAAATTTATATATAGGTAGGTACTTACCTTACTTTACACAGAGGAGACTCTAGAGATGCCGATGGAAATGTTAGTACTCACCTACTCCTGCTCATAGTGCTCATGGAACGGAAAATGAATAAATGCATAATAAATAAACACAAATGTCATTGACTCGAAGAATAAACTGTTTACCATTATGCTGTTTACTGTGTATAATGTAATCGCCGTAGTGGGATCAACAAAATAAGAATGTACTCTCAATTTCGATTCACGCTATTCCGTGAAGGTAAAGGCCATGGTAATGACCGAGTAGTTGTTACAAAACACCCAAATTGCGAATGAGTGAATGGAACGACATAAATAAACATTATAAGTGGGAACCGCAGAGTTTCACTGACCTATCTGAAGATTCCGAGCTGTCATATCTGTCGACGCATCTCTTCTTCCTGCAGTCTTCTTCACATAGAAATCCCTCATGTCCAGATTTAACATACAACTTATCGAATAACTTAGCACTCTCACTTGCCATGTAGAAGTTTTTCACATTTTCACAAGCTCCACCATCCACACTGTCAATTTTCTCACAAACTAAGGCATTGTCAATGTCATGCTCTGCAGTTTTTTCCATAACATCGGCAAAAGGTTCACCCGAGCACAACCCGTCTGCCATTTTGAGAAGGAACACAACTCACAGCACACACTGTCCTATCCTCGTCCTGTCCTGTCGCGAGAATCGCGCTCGCGCTTTGCCGCTTCAGTTCAAACTCGGAGGAGTCGGAAAGCGCGGTCCAGTGTTGCCAACTATCGTCTAAAATTACTTGTTCTGCTATCCATCGTCATTGAAGATCAATAATTTCATTTTTTCTACAGCTACCATACAAAATTGCTCTTGTTTTACTGTTTTCGATAAATCAATGAGGTACTTTGTATGTCATCAATTTTATTTCCGTATCTGATATCACAATATATGACTTCATTTTGTTATTATTTCACAAAATCTCATATCCCATGAGATGTCAAAATTCAAGCAAATCAGATACCTATCTCTACAAGCTGAAGAATCAGAATTTTCGCTGTTTACTGATACAGCCATAGAAAAAGTGGAGTGTTTAACTCGCACGGAATGCTAATTTTCCAATCGTATGATTTGCAGCATTCGCCTACGACAGCTCATTCTGCAAACAGTGCAAACTTTATACTTCATATACTTATTGTCTACGACTATTACACAAAATTGCTCTTGTTTTACTGTGTTCAATAAATCAATTAGGTTTATGGGAGCCGACATCTGCAAAAAATTCGTTCATAAAATATGTAGCCTCAAAGACCCTCGAAAACTGGCGGTTCATATATAAACCACCCCCCTCCCCCACCACTTATAATAAATTAGAAGTAGGTAATTGAAATTTCGATGTGAAGGTTTTATTTGATCGCCCCTGACTTTAAACCAATGACTTTCTAACCCATAACCCTTGAAACAAAAACTCGCCTCGAAAGGGTTAAGTAATCAAAAATGTCGCTGTTATAATTATGTCATCTGTAACAGCCGTATAGAGAAAGTATTGTGTATAACTCGCAAGGAAATCACGGAATAATAATTTACCACTCGTATATCCTATTGTAGCAAAACTGATCTCCAAGGTCAAGTTTTCGCAATTAATAAAAAAATGCACATGTTGCTAGGCTAATATCCAGAAATGCTGGAACACATTAGAAATCAAAACCCAATTGTGCCAAAGCTTAACCTAAACAACATGAGTAATAATTTGAGTTATTGTGATTAACAGCCTCCGTCGTTGATTTTTTTTAACGGCCGGCGGCAGTTAACTGAGCGTCAATATTTCGCCTTCCTCTTAAGATAATATTCGATGGACCAGTGTAGAACTCAACATATGGATTGGAATACTTGTAGTGTGAGCACCACATGAGTTGCACAATGGTCCATCGGATATTATCTTTCGACGAGGGCGAAATATTCACGGAAATATTGACGCTGTGCCACTAACTTAGATCAGTTTGAATCGCGGCACGTTTGGATATTCGCAAAAGCAATAATTTTCCATTTCATTCGCTTTTTGTTTCAACTCGTTATCACATGACGGAAGCATGTCCGGAATAATAAGAACAAAAAAATCGCTGTGCCATGGATCTGGCTCAGACGGAGGGGTTTTTGAGATCTACCATTCAATTGGTATCGGTTGGCATAATTCTTATCTCGTAATCAAATCGCGAAATCGGCTGCAAATTTCCGCACATGAAAGAGCAAATTTTCTAACATGAAAGTGCAATTTTTTCATCATCTTGCTCAGGATAGTAATTGGCACAGGTGCCGTTCGATGAACTACAATGTTTCTAACGTTCTTTTGGGACATATCATTTCATTATCAGATGACGGTAGGAATCTGCAGCCGGATCTCCTACTATTTGTTCTTTCCTCGAAATCAAAACGACACACGGCCGATACACAACTATTTTGTATTTGTTCACATATGCATACTAACATCATGCTGTTTCCAGCAAAATTTGTGAAATTTTGCCATTCATATTGGCTCAAGCTTTAGTAAGGCGCTAACTGGTGAGACTGATGATAATGCTAGTCCTCATTTGCGTAAACTTACCTCAGTACGAAGTTGATGAAAACAGAGCTAAGTATTTATTTGAGACGAATAAAACAACATATATCAAAATTGATTTCATCCGAAAAAAAGTTAAATTTAATAGGTAATTATAGCCACGGGCACAATCGTGTGATAGTCATAAGATAAGAATTGACCTTTATTTGGATCAATCCTCAGAATTCGTTCAAATTGAATATGCTGATGTATATTTATGGATAGTCGCATTTGTTTCGAATTTCCGATTCCCAATCAATTTAGTCCTTTCCGGAATCAATAAACTACCTGTCTCAGTCAGTGGATATCGGTGGCACAGAATAATAGTTATTTATTATTCAAGAAAAAAAAGTAGTAGATTTTATTTCCAGGTTGTGAGCTGAAATCTAATATTTTTCCCGTGTATAATACACTATTTTTTTCTGTGACAGGAAGAAGGACGAGCCAATATTGAGAAAATATTACAATAATATATTTAAATCAGAAAATTATCGACGTGAAATTTGAGGTGCTTAACAGGAATGACATCGTCATCATTCTTTTGAAGTAATCAAATATCTGTCAGTCTTATTCTGTGATTTGATTTTTAATAAATGCGAATTTAATGGTTGTTTAGTAATTTACGTGATCGCGAAGTCAAATGGAAGAAAAAAGGACTGCAGTTTTCTCTCGGAGACGGTGTTATTGGCTTATATTTCGGAACTATAGCACAACAAAAGCCATCGACAGTGTATATATGTGTGATATATATCCGGGAAAAAGGTACCCACTTTTTTCCCGTGGAAAAAAGAATTTAATTACATAAACCTGTCGACAGAGATGAAAATTCGAACTTTTTTCCGCGTCACAGAAAAAAACAAAACAATTGGATATTTAATTGTCATAAGTTTCCTGTAACTCCTCAGTAAATCTCAGTTTGGGTTTGACAACGTGACAGTTACTCAAATTGAACATAAATTACATTGACAAAAGACAATGCATTTGACATATAACACTCGATTTTACAGTTACCGCTGTCAACAAATAGCACAAAATGCCTGACCCTTTCCAAGTGAAATATGGTAATTTTTTTGTTTTGCGAAAGGGAATCCCTATAATGTTCGAAGAACATCGTGCGTGCTTTGGGAAGACAGGGAGAGGAGATTATATGTTCTTAGGAATACTTACATTGGCAGAGCATTCCGAAGCTTTGCCGTTCTGACAAACAAATTTTGAAAATTTATGTTGTTAGACATATTTTGAGATTGAGTTCAAACAAACGAATTTTGGAAAAGTGTTGTCAGACATATTTCAAGGTTGACAACGAAAGATAGTCCTTGGTGCTAACCAAAGATTACTGAATTCTAGTTCATCTTCTGTTATCTACTATGGTGCTGGCTGGGCTTGTCGAGTTGGTCTGACTGGTATTGTTGGTTGCATACCAATGTGTCACGGAACGACAATCATTCCTTATTCTTGAAGACTCGAATCACAGATTTGCGCCTGTACTTTCTAGTCCATTTCAATTTCATTTTTTATTCCTGAGAGTGGTCGCAGGAAATATAAAACATTTGATTCGTGGTAAGTGACTTATTTGTTTGACCCGCATATTTTGCAATCGCTTGTCGATTAAAGTGCCACCCATTAATATCCTGATTCAACAATGAACCATTCGTGTCTAGTTCTGATCTCATACCAATAACCAGATGCCAATTTCCATAAAATGCAAGAGGATATACGAGGGATCTGTATTAACCGTATCATCACGTATTATTATTGATAGCATTTCTGGTTACATTATAGAATGATTGGCAACACTGGCGCGCTTCGCGTTAGGAACTCATGAGCGCTAGTGCGCCTGCTCGACAAGGGGATCGAGGGGGTGTGCGCCGGTGTGCAATGCGACGTCACTCGTCTGAGCAATGCATTCGGCATTCGCCGTTCAATGCCCATTCCTGCGCAGCGTTGCCAGATTGACAACATGTTCATTTCCTGCAATAGGCGTCTAGCGAACGGAACTCGGAAACACGGAAGTGGGAAGTGGCAGGCGCAAGGAAATAGAGATAAATCACCACGGAACTATGGTTTCAGTGAACATTGAATTGACTATCAATTTTTTTGCACGAGATAGTAAGATGAGTTATCTCACAGGTAACATATCAAGTTGAAATCTCGAATTATTGTCACCTAGAATTATAGCGAATTTCATTGACAGGAACTTGTGGAGTGTTTTTCCACTGAGTTTATAATCGCAGGTAATATCCCAGACCATGACAAATAGCCGAATTATTTTCTTCATAGTTCTATCGAGAGTACCATGTATTTTGACAATTGGATGAAGCTCGAGGGAGTTATTCTATGATTATTAATGTTCATATGGTCGAATTGAATTGTCTCAAAATACAAATTACTCCAGATGGATTAAAGAAAATAATAGTCTCGATTTGTCATGGTCGAGTGATATTCAGGAAGATTATTTCATGAACAATATATGATGTACAGTTTTCCATATCAATTTCAACTGTTCTAAATTGTTCTAAAATTGTTCTATCCGTCATTCGATTGCCCCCTTACGAGCAACCCTCAGAAGTCTTCGAAAGTCTTGTGCGAGCAAGGAATGACGGGGGCCTTACCTTTTAACGTGGGCCATCAGAAAAATTTCTGCAGCCGCTGGGAATCGAACCCACGACCGGCAAGCGAATGCGAATTAAAATATAGACACTCTGTCCGCACGGCTACCTGGCCCCCAATACTCCTAATATTCCTCACCGTTCTCCTCACCCAATCTTTCAGGATTTGTGCGATCACGAGAGTTGGGGTAGTCGCACAGAATTCATAGCTTTTCTGCTGGCAAAAAACCATGAATTGTTCCAGACAGACTCTTTACTCTCATAAAATAATTACGTATTTCCGTAGTGGAAGTTGACCAAAAACGAGACATTTCAATTTTTGACTGACTGATAGGTATGTCAAAGTTTTACAACCATAGCACTCTTATGCTGGCGAACAGAATAGCCGCTTCAATTGTTTATTCACCTGAATATAGTCGCTGATATTGCATATCATGTGACTTCAATCATGAAATTTCATAGGTCCAGCTGAGAAGGGAACATATTGAGAGCAGAAACACTCCCAACAGTTGCT